AAAAATTTTTTTTTCATTACGTCCTTTCTCGAAAGAAACGAGATGGTCAAAGTCAAGAGGAAAATATGAAAGAACAACGAACTACAGAAAAGGTTATATTGAATGTTTTAGACGTTTTTAAGAAGAAGAAAAAAAAATCTCTTCTACAACCCGCCAATACTTCAAGTTTGAATTTCTTTGATATCACTGCAAAAAGAAGAATAATAATGATATAATACTGTAATAACGATAATAACACGTCGCATAAACTAACTATCGCTTCATGCTTTCATTCATTACCTCTTTCTAAGAATAAATCTCTAATTAGAATGAGTCAGCCCCTTATGAGAAGAATGCCAGAAGCCATAGTTGCTACAATCCATACTTTAACTTTGGATTGTAATCTTCTGATACCAATTTACGACGTGCAGAAGGTGCGTAAATAAAAACCTCTGATTTGCTTGTCATTATTTGAAGCTTGATCATAAACTTGATAAATAAGAAGATTATCTAACCGAAGATACATCCCTTGTTTATGTGCATGGAAATTACTAATAGCTGTGAGACGTTTCTTTTCAAATGTGCCTGTGTGCAATTGTTTTCATTTATTGAAAAAAGGTAAAAACTTGTATGGTACATGTGTTGCTTACGAAGAAAAAGCTATTTTTAATTAACATTCCGTAGTTTTTGTTCCAGAGAAAACGAGTTGTCAATCAGTTGAGGATGAGATAATGTGGAGTAAATTATACCTGTAGAAATCAAGTTTACATAGGATCAAATTTGCAAGGAGTAACATCTTTAACGACAAGTCTCTTCGACATGTATGTTCGAATTATAGTTTTTTGAGCTGAAGATATTCTTTTTTTGTGTTATACCGAAAAAACTTTAACTTTGGTGTCTTGTATAACATAAAATAAGAAACAACTTTGTCCATATTAAAATTTTAAAAGGTCGAGAGAGGCGATCAACTTGATGAAATCTGCCTTTCGGTATTTCCTGCAGGACATCATTTCAAAGTTAGGTTTATTTCTCACTCCCCATTCTCACACTAACACTCGCTGGCTTGTAGGGTAGATTAAATCGCATTAAATAGAAGAAAATCACACTTTAAAAGGTTCTTTTCTGAAATTTTCCAGAATGAATCTCCACGTGTACTTATTTGGAAGGAGATACGTGTCTACATCTTTGAGGTGAAGCTTCTAATGAAGCCACATCACTAGCAGACTCACGCTAATACCGAAATATGCATTTGCGTTTAGCACTTGCTGAGTTAATTTGATCGAACAACGGCAACCGTCATTTTTCCTGGTCAATCTTAATTATTTATGGAATGATGTAACCCAAACTGCTAGACATCCTTTGTGGCTGCAATTTGCATGCATAGGCTCTTGCGCATAATTTTAAGATTACAGGTAATATTATCTCTTCGCAGTTGCTTGGACTTATTAATGTGATCCCTCTGATCTTAAAATTTATTTGGGTTAATTGTTTGTTATCCTTATTAACTATGCACATGGTTCTCTACGAACGAATAGGCTCTTGGTTCACGAGTGCATAAGCTTTTTGTTTCATTCGGAAATCTTTGGATTACTTATCCTCTTGTCACCTATAATGGTTCGGTTGATCGAATGGTCCTACATTGACAATTGGTTTGGTTTGGTTTGGTTTGGTTGCTTTCAGTAAATAAATCAAAGTTTAATATAAATGCAAACTTTGCAGCAGTTAGCTGCACTAACCAATGACGCAAACAATTTGGCCCACCATCTCGAAATATCGAGTTACACCATTTATAACGAAAAAGCATTTTATTTCTTGTGCGTATTTATGTATTATCTAATCGTGTGTTTTGCCATCTTCTTAAGACATCAATTTACAGTATCATTAATTTACTTTTCATATGATTATTTGTTTATCATGTGACCCTTGTTTATTTATACCTTTTTCTAAATTTCTTCCTCAGGACAGCGATGAAAAACAGATGACTTTGATTGACTTTGATTGACTTTCCGGTTCCCTCCCTCGATTAGATATTCACTTTTCATCTGTACTACTGGACCGTTACAGACGTAAGCACGTGTGTTCTTCATCTCGACGCTCATTCATAGATGTCCAAAACTTTCACTCCTGAAGAGGTAAAAAAAGAGATGACCAGTTTCTCTGAATTCGCGCTTTCCCTGACCCTCTACGCTCATTGCAGTATCATGCATTTTGTGATACATTATATGCAGCTCCTACCTAAAATTAGGGATTGGTTTTTATGTGCTGTTCGCGTGTATTGAATAAACTGGTTTTCAATCTTGATTCTGTGGTCCCTGTGTAAGGTTTACCTTAGTAATGTTAAATTACACCTCGGAGAAACGGAGGGTACGGTTTTAATACGATATGGTAGGCGATTAGCCAATATGGAATCTTACGTAACAATAATAACTTAGAGATTTCTGAGCCTGATAAGTGTAAAATGATCTTTTGACATTTACGCGATAAAGTATAAAATTAAAATCCCAAATGAAAATTACTGAATGCAAGTAGTACCAGAATAAACAAAATCTTTCTTAATGAAAAGCTTTTTCTACGATAAGAATCTCCTATGGTGTGATCACAACCTTATCACCGTGGCGAAGAGCTGTGCATTCACTCTTCACTTGTTATCCCGTAGTGATAGGGTTCGATCACCTTGTACATGGGGATTTCAATCGTGCTGCCATTAAATTTTGGGTGTGGACGCATATTTGTGTCACGTCAAATGTCTACTGTCAAGATTTCAATCGGATTAGCACCGATAATATTAGATAATGATAACAAGATTTTATTTTTTTTGGTAATTAAAGCTATTTGAATATGACACACAAGATTTTTTCTTTGCTATTAAAAAAGCTTTTTATGGTAATTAATGCCTTGAATAAGATTTTCTGTCGGTGATTCATTCATTGATATCAGGAATACAGTATTACAAGCTTTTTTTAAAATCCACTTGATTCGAAGATATTCGTATTTCCGATTGATACCATTTTCACTTCCAAAGTTATGATGATTATTAATAAGGGATGGGAAATACACTGTACGTAAATGTACTGTAAATTAAAACATGTCCGACCGTCAATGGGTCTATCGAAAATGGCAATTAATTATTGATAAACATTTTCCCTCAAGAAAATTATAGAGTACTCGAGAATATTCCATGTAAGTTAATAATTCTCTGAAAATGTTACGCGATAATAAATAATAATTAATATTCAATATATTATATTGTAGAAAATATTGTGCAAACTTGAACTCATCTTAAACAAATGTTTTTTAGACATAACTTTAAACATAAAAACAGTTATCTTTTCTAATTTCTATTTATTTATTAAAATTTGAAATTAAAAATCATAATTCACATTTTATTGCCACAATAATCTAAATAATAATACAGTATTAAATAAACATTGTTTATTTACTTAAATTTTTTTGAAAAAAAAATTTGTAATTGTATTAAAGATTTTATAAGAATAATAAAAATATCAATAATAAGAGAATTTTCTGTTTATTTAAAAATTTATAAAAAATAATTTTTTTTTCTATTTAATATATTTTATTTTCTTGATTCTTTTATTTATTATTAAAAATATTTATATAATAATAATTTAATTAAACAAATTTAATTATTTTGGTTTCATAATAAAATAAAAATTTAATTAAACAATTGATAAATATCAATTAATTTAAAAAAAAAATGAATAGATTTTATTTTTATAAATAAAAAAAACCATGATTTTTTTTAATAATATAATATTAATCATTATTAAAATAAATATATTTGAAAAAATAATATTAAACAAATATTAAATCCAATAATTTTATTTAAATATTACTATTATTTTATAAAATACTTCTTAAATTATAATTTTTATATGTTAAATATATACAGTATAAAATTTATAATAATATACATTATTATAAATTAATTAACAAATTAAATATCTTTTATTTGTTGTTATTTTTTTAATTAAATTGTTAAATATATATTTATTAATTTTTTTTAAAACAATAATATAATATACAATATAATATAATATTTAAAAAATTGTTACTAATCTTTTTATACAAATAGAAAACAAAAAAAAAACTTTCAAACTTGCTTAACCTTTTTTTAAAAGTTTTATTCCAATATAACAGTAGCTCTTAAAATTCTCATATCCTTGAACATATAGTATAAATACTTATAAAATAAGTAAAAAACATTGGTTCAAAAAAAATTAATATATAAAAAAAATTTTTTAAAAATCAATAATAAATAAATAAATATTTTTTAATATTATTACTTATTATTGTTTATTTTTATTTTATATTTTTTAAAAATATATAAATATAATAGTTATTCTTTTTAATTATTCAAAAAATTTTTAATTTATTACAAATTAATATATTATTAAATTTAATTATTTAAAAAAATATCTTTTTATATATAATGTTTTTGATATATTGTATATATATCTTTTTTTATCAATATATTTATTTTAATTAAAATTTTATTAAAAAAAGCTTGTAATACTGTATTCCTGATATCAATGAATGAATCTCCACGTGTACTTATTTGGAAGGAGATACGTGTCTACA